GTATGAGTAGTTACAGAACTGTTATTTGCATGTTGAGCCAGAAAGTAGGATATAAAAACAATATGCTCAGGAGATTGAGGGTGAGGGGTGGAGGGGTGTTTATAGATCAGCGAGCGCATGGATAGATAGATAGATAGATCTCTTTATTTTTCAAAAAGTAATATAGGCCCGTTCCTCAAATGCACATAAATATATTTTGCAAAGCATTTATATCTTGTTATTGTAACTTAAGCTACTTTAAAACAGCTTGTGTTATTTGATAGTCGGACTTTTTTTTTTCTCTATTGACGAAACAAAGTTTGGAAATTATGACAGGTCGCATTTCCTCTGTAGACTGCATTTGCTTTCCTCCTCAGCAATGAGATTCTATTATGTGAACTTTGCATTTTTTGGCTTCTGAGAGTTTCCAAAGTGCTATGCAGGAGAGCGAAGAGTGGGTAGCGTTTGGCAAATGCTCCTAACACAGCCCAAGCTCTATGCCACCCATGTGTTTAGAATGTACTGCGAACGATCAGCGTTAAGACTCAAGCGTTGTGTAGAAAAATACGAATGGGAGCCTTTGTGAATAGGAGAAATGTTTATTTGACTTGAAGTAAAGCTACAAACAAATACAAAAAGCTTATTGGCAAAATACTAACAGGCAGGTAGACATGACAGATGCCATTTTACACATAACACTGCATTCACTCTGCCCACTACCAACTGTCTATTAGTCACATCAGAAATATTTCTAGTATTTACAGACATTGGAACACTTTATGGTTAGTCCAATTTTATACATTTTTTTAATAGTGAAGTTTACCCACGTCTAAGAACACGTCTCAGAATTAGCCTGGGCACTAGAAAGCATGGCCTTACATTTGAACTAAACCACAGATTCGACAATTTGAAGACAAAAAGATACAAGAGCTTTTTTGCTTTTTATTTTTTTCTTTACAGTTTTTTGATTTTTTTTCTGCTATTTTAGTGCAGGAATCCCAACTTTAGCTTAGGCAGAGAATAAATCTCCCCCCCCCTCCCCAATAGCTGTAAACTCAGATAAAAACAAACAAACCACCGTATCTGTTATCAATTTACAAATAAGTTATAACATTTAAAGGGCTCACATAAAAACATGCTAGCTTTCCAGAAAGCATCAAGATAGCACTGGCACAAACATTTATAAGAACATCAAGAGCGTGGGGGAGCATCTGGGAAATTAAAAAATAATAATAATAATTAAAAAATAAAATTAAAACACAACAGGAGCGCAGTCCTGGGATAACAGTACCATAGGAGTTGTTTAAAATATCAACAACATGCCGAAAAAGGTGCCTTACTGTAGAGTACTCTGAAACTAAGATATGGTGCTGCTTCTCCCACCCCCCTTTTCTTCTCTTCTTTCTTTCCTTGATATTCCTTTTCTATAATTTATGGCTGGAAGGCGCTGCCCGCGGAGGCTACACTCATGCTTTTCAGTTTATTATCTTTCTTCCACTTCATTCTTCTGTTTTGGAACCAGATTTTAATTTGCCTTTCGGAGAGGCACAGAGCATGGGCGATTTCTATTCTCCTCCTGCGGGTGAGATATCTATTGAAGTGAAATTCCTTTTCCAATTCTAGGGTCTGGTAGCGAGTATAGGCGGTTCTTGCCCTTTTACCGTCTGGTCCAGTCATGTCTGAATAATATGGACAACATTGGTGTTTGGTTTTGTTTTTATAAAAAAAGGCAAATTATTAACCTTCCCAGGACAATCACGAACGTTCACTTGGTTATTTTAAAATAACCCCCCCTCCCCCACGTGTAGATCCCCCTCCCTCCATCCCCCAGTTCCGGCATATACAATTCAATATTCACAATTTAACCTCGCAGCCTAAAACTCTAATCATTCCACCTACGTGTGTGTGTTTGGAGCTGTTAAATATTGTCATTTAAAAAACAAACAAACAAACAAAACCCACCACTGTTCCTGGTGCAATGGACCTACTCTTGGTTTTTTATTTTGTAATTAGCAGATTGTCAAGAACACACACACACCAAAAATAATAATAAAGGATTGGGAGCCCCATCTGTGCATAGAGAGCCTGTTTTAATGATCAGTTCTTCCCTTTCCTTTTCCTCACCCCCCCTTCCCTCCCCCATCCGCAAATACCCCCGCAGTTTTAAATGACCTTTTCTCTCTCTCTCTCTATATATATATTAAATAACCTCAGATTTAGCGGCAGGGCTTACAAATCTATCACCCCCCAAAACAAGCATCAAAGGCAGTTTTCTGTTTTAAATCAGCGATCAGATAAATAAATACAATGCGATAAATAGCTGGATTACTTATCAGGCGCCTTCAAATAAAGCCAGGGGAAGGAAGGGAGAAAAAAGAAGAAGGGAGGGAAAAAAGGGGGGGAGGGAAAAAAAATAAAAAAGTAGTTGTACCATGGCTAATGTGAAGCTTCCTCATCCAAGGGAATATCTGTGGTGTCTGCCCTTCTGTTGTTGCTGTGGATGTAGCGACGGGCTCTGCCTGTGCCCGGGGAATATTGTTGCTGTTTATTTGGGTGCCCTCTTCGGTTCCCGAAGACGCGCTGGTCTCGTCTATTTCTGTGAAATTTGTGTTGGTGCTGGCAGAAGTAGCCTGGTCGGAGGGGGACGGGGCGGGTTTGCCTCCATGGTTGTCGCTGTTGGAGCAGGGAAGGGACTCGGGAGAGGACAAGGAGCAGCTAGACGCTTGCCTAAACCTGCTCTCCTGAGCGGGCGAAGGGAAGCTGCGGGAGCTTTCTCCCACAGCCCCAAAGTGGCTAGAGGAGGTTGAGCGGTTGATGCTAAGGTCCATCCCATTGTAGTTGTAGCCATAAGAGCTGGAATGCATGGTGCTTGAATCTCTGTACGAACCGTTCATAGAACTGCTGGTCCCATAATTTAGCAACTGATAGTCGGGGCCATTTGGATAGCGCCCTGAGAACGAGTTTACAAAGTAAGAGCTCATTTGGGTTATTTTGGAGGGCTTGATTTGTGGCTCGTGGTCGTTATAACCCTGTGCTTGACGATTTATGATGTATTAATGAATTATAGCAATGCACTGTACTTCGTTTTTGCTATGTATGCGGCCAAATATGGGGGGTGGGGGGGCGCTTGGTAATCACGTGCTTTTGTTGACCAGTCGTAAATTCTCACTGATGACCTCAAGAGGTAATTCATGCTCTATGGTTACAAATAATGACGATCTGAGAATCGTTAGGCCCAAGTCAATGCAAGGCTTAAAAAAAAATCGGAAGACAGAGATTGCGCCATGTTGGCGGACTGCGCCACCTACTGGGGACAGGGTGACTTAGCAGGCATGGAGGGTGACTACCCACCCTTAATTTTTTTTAAAAGTCATTTAGTGGCAATTTGCACTCTTCATATATTTGTACTTTTAAAAAAAATAATAATAATGCACAAATACGCCCTTTTCATTCCGAGAAGCTCCTTTCAGTTTTAATTTTATTCTGCAAATGGAGAAAAAATGCTTATCAGACCCAGCTCGAATGATTGTCAACATCCTGTGTTAGTTGTGTGGTCTTTGCATGGGGGTTGTTATCTTCATTAAATTATTGCCACTCTTTTATAATAATGACATTGGTGGTGCGGGGGAATAAGTCACCTTTGGATCTGGAGGTTCTGTGTTTGAATATCTTAGAAAAAAAACCGGAGCCTGCTGAAAGAAAAACATGTGTGCTTTATTTATTTAATTTATTTATTTTCATTGGCACAATGAAAGTTTGCCTTTCTTCACCTTCTCATCATATTATCAAATACACAGTAACACCTTGTAATTCTGGAGGGGAAAAAAAGAGACGGGAAGGGAGATCAGCCGTTGAAACTGGTTGACAATGTTGCTTTTAAGATATTCTTGATCATGAATATCCCTCCCTCACACACACTCCCTTTAAATAGAGCATTGTTCTATGTCCCCCCTAACCCATTGCAAACCTGCAAGAAATATTAGGTAGCCATGAAAACCTGAAATTTGACCAGGGTTTTGCTTTGTTCAAGGCTGCTCTTTGCTTTCCAAGGCAGTTTAGGAATTTCAAAGGCTTGTCTGCAACTCATTGGAAATTATGCGCCATATTGAAAGTGACATATAATTATAATAATTACGGGCAATGAAAAGAGTGGCAATAATAGTAAATGTTCTACAGCTGTGGAGCTTCTGCATGAATTGATTTTAAAAGTGACTGGCATTAAAACAGCTTGTGACATGAGGGAATGCATTCGTACATAGGTATTTTTGGGTGGGTGGTGGGGGGGAGGGAGTAGTTCTTTTTAAAGGCATTTTTTTTCTCTCGTGAAGCTTCAGACATTTTATTAGCATTGAGCTGAGCAATTTTTTGTTTTAAATCTGCTGATCCCAAGAAGAAAAGCACTTCTTTTCGTTCATTTTTTTAATAAAAAAAAAATCAAAGAAAAGTTTACTTCATTGCAACTACAAGACACCTCTTAGTTCTTTAGCGCAGAAGAAACATACGCCCAGTTCCGAGTCAAATGGCACTGTAAAAAGAGCCATTTGAAAGGTGTGTGTGGGTGTGTGTACATATACACAAAACAATCTAACTGTGCTTAGCTTACTGTTTTTGGTTTTTTGTTTTTTTCCCTGTGCTTAAATAATTCCCATCGTCCTGGAGTGAAAAAAGTTTCGACTAAAAAATAATAAAAACCCAGCAAGTCTGAAACCTAGCTATGTCTACAAGGCACATCTCCCTGATTTTGGAAAGTGAAATAAGGGACCAGATGTTTGAAAGATGCTAGACAAACGTTATGTATCTTTGGTAGATAGATGAGACCATATTTTTGCCTCTTTCTTTGATATATTATGTATATGGAGAGCTTTTCCTCATAACTCTTTTGACTGTAACAATAAAAAAGAGCGATCTTAAAGCAGAATGTCAGCTCGGAGATATCGTTGGTGAAAGGTCCTGCATTTAAGATTAGGCAAAAGGGGGGAAAAGCACATTTATCTCTCAACTGTAACTTCCGTATGCTGCGTGTTGCTTGTCCTTGCTGATTAGAAGACAGTGTCACACACAGACAGCAGTAGCGCCCGCTTTGCTAACAACCCCTCAGCTCCACATGAATGGCATATTTTCATAGACAGGAATGATAATAATGATAATAATACCAAAGGGGTGTGGATGAGTCCGAATACTTTGCTTTTATTAGAGTATTCCATGGCCATACCTAAGACAAACTACAAACACAACACGTACAAAAATTAATAAAATATAATTTTTTTTGTTGTTGCTTTTGCATCCTTTTAGGTAGTACTTGTTCCTTCAGTAGGTTTTCTCTTTAAAAAAAAAAGAAACTAATTACAAAGACCCCAGGGTTTGATTAATTTACCAAAAGAAAATCAACCGGGGAGGGGGGAATCTATAAGTCAATCGTGCATGAAACATTTTACAAAATTAAGACAATAAACACCAAAAATGACATATATTGCAGCACCTCCATTAAATACAAGAGTTAGCGGGTTACTAACAGTGACACGAAGGGCAGAAACACAGGTAAGAGTTCCAAATTATTATTATTATTTTATTTTATATTATATTTGGAGGAATAGAAAGGAAAAAAAAACCTCAACTAGAAGCCTGATTTTTGTTTTGACACGACAGATTAACTGAACACGAGTCCAACGGTGCAAATTTATGTTGGTGGCTCGCCACCTTCAAACCGTCTCGGGTATTTTACAAAGCGTGCACCACTTGGGGTGCGTTTTCTCTTCCACTCCAACCCTTTCCCCCCACCCTCTACCTCCTCCAACTGTTGGGCTATTTCTCTCTTTCTCTTAAATAATTCTTTCACTCCGCTGCTTTCTCCTCCTCCTCCTCCGCGCTCAGCTGCGTGGAGTTGAGCAGTTTGTTTTCCTTTTTCCATTTCATCCTCCGGTTCTGGAACCAGATTTTGATCTGGCGTTCTGTCAGGCAAAGTGCGTGTGCGATCTCGATCCGGCGACGCCTGGTCAAGTAGCGGTTAAAGTGGAACTCCTTCTCCAGTTCCAGGGTTTGGTAGCGGGTGTACGTTTGCCGGCCTCTCCTGCCACTTGGCCCGAAAGATGAACCTGTTAGGCAAGGAAAGGAGGGGGAGAAAATACCCAAAGGTTTATTCTAGTTAAGAGTAATAATACCAGGGAGCCGGCCACTTAGCATTCTGATAAAGGGTATGTGTTTAGGGGGGGTGGCGTCTTTTGCTTCCTTTGCCTTCCCCGCTAAATACTTTTACCAACCAAAAATCATCTAGCCAAAGTGCCCAGGGCTCCTTTTTCCCCCACCCCCAAAGCCAGCCCTCTAGCAAACCTCCTGACTTGCTAGGTCGCCTTGGAAAGAGTTGCTAATTTGTCTTGGGTAAAGTTCCACTGGTACCTGGGCAGAAGGGTTAATGCAGAACTTGCCAGATATTCCAGGATCGTGCTTTGAAGAGATTGCTAGACCTGTCTTATTCTATTATGTAAAATCTCAAGGTGCCCCCCCCGCCCCACACCTTTCAATTGTTCCTCCCCACCGGCAGCAGTAATAGATCTGGGCATTTAAGCAATAATGAAGTGTATCGATCTAGACAAACTCTGTGCATTAAAGGGGATACAACGCTTTATGTCCCTGCACTAATGGACATCAATTTGGAACTTAAAAGGCAACAAATAATGAATGTAAACATGGAAGCACTGTGACTTTTTCTTCTTCTTTGTGGATTGAAGAGATAGCACTTAAACCAGCTATACATCACAGAGGGGGGGGGAAATTCTCCCCAGGCAGACTTTTCATTATGTGTTGAGTTTCATTAAAAATGTAATTCTCTCCTTTCAAATATTTAAACACTTTTACATTATTTAACTCCAGAAAGGGTGTGTGTGTGTGTGTGTGTGTGTGTGTGTGAAGTCATCCTGTTCTTTTTTTTGTGAATAGATATCTCTCTGTATGTGTAGAAGACACAGAGATAGATAAATCATTGTAACTGAGTGACATACGAATCAGAGCGTGCAAAAAGAAAGAAGATACGCGCCTAAGTATGGTACCAACTTTTTTTTTTTTTAAAGGATCTGGCTAAAGAACTGCGCTAGAGGAAAAAGACTGCCATAAAGTTTGGGGTTGTGTCAGAAACAACTTTCAGTCTCGTGCTTTGCCTGACTCGTCCGCTGGAAGTTGGATCTTAACTAAGCTTTTCCTGTTTCTTTTGCAAAGAAGAAAAGGGGGAAGGGCGGGGGGAGGGGGAACAAATACATAAATAAAGAGAGATTAAAAAAGAGTAACTCACTGTTGCAAGAGTTCATCCGCTGCATCCAGGGGTAGACGGGAGTAGAGCACTTCTGGTCATCGCTTTCCCCGAAAACAGTTTTGGTCTGTGAGCAGTCTGACTTCCGCTGATCTGGGGCAAACTGAACATGGTCATCTAGGTTTGAGGTGGCACAGACAGGGTCCTTCTCTCTGTAAAAACCAGCCGCCCCATAGTCACAGGCTGTGGTCCGGCTGTAGGCTCCGTTAGCTTGCTGGTAATAAGAAGAGGAGGGATAACCCTTATCTTGGACGCTAGTGGCTCCATAGGAAGCGGGGTAGTGTCTTAAAGGATCCGCATATCCTGAGGCATATAACGGGATTTGTCCCAGGAAGGGCTCCTGCCCAGCAGCCAGGCTCACCGGGAAGGTAGAGTTGACAAAATAAGAACTCATTGGGAGGAGGCAGCCGTCCTTTCCTGGCTTTATGATTTGTTGTGTTTTATAGTCCAAGTGGTTTAGCTATTAGTAGTATATCGGAGATTGGGTTTTAGCTGAAGGGGGATGGCTGGGTGCCAGCGAGGGACACAAGGAAATAGAACCATCTGATCATGGACTGACCAATAGCAAGAGTCTGAGATTACAAAATAGCACCCATGAGGGGCTTGCATTGCACTAGGGACCCCCAGAACAAACCACCCAGACCCTCTTTTTCCTCCCTTTTAAACAACAAAATTCACCCCCTTAACCAAATACGTATTATCTGCGAAAGATAAATCCCCAAACGTTTGGAGTCTTTAAAACAATAATTAAAAAATACACCAAACACACACAGAGAGATAGATCTGTATATAGAGATATACATACACACGGAGAAAAAAAAGTTAAATGCCTTTATTCTGAAAAGTTTAACCCCTGGTGCCTGTTATTGATTGCAGACCATTTGGGTAATATTGCTATGATTTTTTTATTTATTTTTTACATAAAAAAGAAACTTTTAGTTTATTTGTTTTTTTTTTCATTGAGGGGTGGGGTAAATAGATCTCATTTGTTTAATTAGCTTGGGTTTAGGATGGGAAGTGTGTGTGTTGGGGGGAGAAGAGAAGTCAATGTTGATAACTTATTTCTCATGGTTATCTAATTATCATAGATTGACAGAGAAGAGGCTTCCTTTTAAAGTGTCACTCGCCCGCCTCATCAGATTCTATGCTTCCTATTTATTTTGTGAAAGAGTTACAAATCTATGAGATGAATGGGAATCGAAGTATTACCTTTATCCCGGACTAAATACTTATAGAGATATAGATATATGTACCGAATTGTGCCCTCTTGCGTTTTATTGTTAATACCAAATCTATGTCCGACCCTTCGCAGTTAAAGGCAGCATTCGGTTACGGTCAAGAAGTGTCTTTATTGATTGTCACTGATCAAGAGTTTTTTAAAAGGCTGTTGTTTGGCGTGTCTATTGCCTATAAGGTGAGCGATGATCCTGCTTTCATATTTTATCACCCTTTCCATTTGTGTCTGGCCCCACTACGAGGTACCTATTTAAAAAATAAAAAAAAGTTTAAACCTCTTAAGGAATAAACTCGAAATTCTGAGTCATTTTTTTTTCAAACTGGGGCGAAAGACCAAATGAAACGAGTTTGGTCTGGGCTTAGTGGCTCATGTTTCTGCTTTTATTCATTAGCTGTAGGTGTGTTTCGCAATGGCTAGTCACCTCCTCTTCAGATTTCTCTACGCGGAAGATCTGGTTGGATTTAAATATTTTGCCATGCATTTTAGCTGTGGGAACGTGTCATGTCCTTCAGAAACTTCCTCCACGATAAAATTGAAAATTGATTGGTTTAAGGTGCATTTCTAAACTCATATCTATCTATCTATCTATCTATCTATCTATCTATCTATCTATCTATCTATCTATCTATCTATCTATTCCCATACACATCCCACTATCTATCTATCTATCTATCTATCTATCTATCTATCTATCTATCTATTCCCATACACACCCCACTATCTATCTATCTATCTATCTATCTATCTATCTATCTATCTATCTATCATATGCAATGAAATTTATACACCACACAAGGTACACACCTATATGTATGAATACACGTTTGTGTATGCTCCTGGTCTAGAATTACACATAATTACATGGTCGCTGCAGAACTGTCAATGCCTATTTTCCCTGATGGGGGTTAAGTATTTACGAAACTGTTATCTTATTAGGAGCTAATTTATTTTAAACATCATGTTTACAGCAGCATAGCTAAGACTATTTCATGCCATCACTGCAATGGGCATTCGACTGGACGTAATCTTTATAATTCAAGGAAATAACATGTAAAGGAAGTAGTTTTTCTCCCCTCCTTTCTGACTGAAATCTATTATATTTGTTCTTGCAGAGTTTTCCTTTGTGTATGGAGTGGACCCAAACCTACGCAGATCTGTTTTATTGGCATGGGAACGTGAGATTAAAAGAGAAACTTGACTGTCTATTGGGGGGGTGAAAACCTCCATTGAACACAATGAAGTTAGTTGCTTTGCAGGAGGCAAACAGACATTTGATTAGAAAGTTACGCAAAATATGTATAAGAGTAAAACCAGGAACATCTGGGATGATTTGCACAGCATGCGGAATCTGGGCTATGAAGTATGAATTCCTGATAATTAAATGAGTGAGTAAAATCGCTGAAAACGTTTTCTTTACTTCTTTTTAATGATGATAGTTGTGAAAATGTTCCTCCCGAAGTATGTTTAAAGACTGTTTCCCCAACACATGGTGATGTAGCATTTCTATGAAACGCAGCTCTATTTAGCATGCTTGTGGCTAAGACTAACTTGCCCTACCTTTTGGCTGTAGCAATTTTTATTTTTATTGTGAAAGAAAAAAAATAAAATTCACTAATTGAAACTCGCCTCTTGCTAATTGCTTATTGTTGGTTATTTAGACTGGAATAATATGCTGTGCCCTGCTAAAGGAAGATAGCGCTTCACTTAATATGTATGGACTTTTAGTGGGAGAAAAATAAAAGAAGAAAACTTGGTCTAAAACATGCATTAAGCTTTTGTTCCATTTTGGAAAAAATATATAGATCTTAAAGTGTCCATCATCCATATACTGAGACCTGCAGGATGGCATGTTTACCATCTGTAGCAGAGTATTCAGAATGCATTCGATCACAGATAGAATTATGTGTTTAGTGTCAAGCCGGTCTCTAATATCATTTTAATAGCTTTTTCAAAAGGTATCTTCATTTTGTTTAAAAAGATGCTTGGGCTATACCCTGAGTTGCTTGCTAAACTTTTAAGAGAAATCTGTGCCGGGTTTTTGTGGAAAATATTTGGTCTAAGGAGGTTTCTAAAGGCAAGCAAGCATGGGGAGTGGGACACAGAGACCTAAACATAACGGTTGCTGATACAGCTTGCAGTGTCGTCACTGTGTCTTCCACCGTATTTTCTTTGCATATTTTCATTCAGAACTGGGTCTGGGTTTACTTAAGAAGTCTTTGGTTTTATTAAAAAGAAGAGAAACCACTAGTCGGTGGAGTTGCTAGAGACAACATAAGGAGGTATAAAATGTTTCATTTAGCACTGAGAATCCATCTTTCCCTACTGATTGACATAACTCTCCTGGCAGGGTATAAATAAAGATTAAAGGGATTTATTTACAGCATGTACATTCGCAGCTCGCTAGCTTAGAGAGTGCTGGCTGGGCCTTTTTCTCCATTTTTGCTCTTCTGCTAGCAAATGCCAACTCCACAAAGCAGAGAGAGGCAGATAAATGAGGGGATTAAAACAGCACACAGATATTTCGAAATGCAAACAGAACAGAGCATTGCTTGTGTAAAAGCTAAGCTAGTTAAGAACTTTGTGGAAAGTTAAGTGGAGCTGGTTCCAATAAAAAAAAAAGGGGTCGCTTTTTTTCGTGTAGAGCTGGAATTCTCAAGCCTTCTGAAGTGACAACAGAGAAGGACCTTCCCAATCAGGGGACTTATTGCAGCCATAAAGTCAAGCTAACACTAAGACAACATTTGAAAAGCCTTGTTACTGTATTTAGACATATAACGCTATTAACAGCAGAGAAGATTACTCTTGTAATATACATCCTCACTCAAATTCCTATTAGAAAAGCGGCACAAGGATTCTTTTCTCTCCATTGTTGGCATATTTAAAACAATGACCCCTGAAGGTGTTTAAAAAATAATTCTCTCTCCATCCTCACATAACCATTTGAAACTTAATTTCCAGCAATTTAAGTTTAATTTACCTGACTTCCCGTGCAGTGCATAATAACCTCGTTAATGGGATCTTTGAAAAGAAGCAATAATAATCTACCATTGTTCCATTAAAGAGTGCAGCTAATAATTAACAAAAAAAAAAGTGAGAGGGGGGTTGCGGGAAGGACCTTGGGATTGTAAAAATGTATCCATATTACCTTATTTCCGCTAAAGGAAACCCTGAGAGGGTTTAGGGGAAAGAAATCTTGCTAGGGAAACTAAAAATAGGGGCACAGAAACGGGTGGAAGAGAAATCAAAGCATGAAGCATGTAGGTTGCCTGGAGAATGCTACCGAGTGTGAGCAGTTACAGAATGGAACAAGTTAATCATGGCTGTTATTAGTCAAAAGGAGAAACTTTTTTATTTATTTTAACATAGTCTCTGGGCATCTCACTTTCATATAGGGGAATGTCACTAGTCTAGACATAAACAGTTGCCAGGAAACTGTGTGGTAGTAGGAGAAAACGAGGGAGAGAGAGAGAGAGATTTTAAAATAACAGGCGTGCATTGTCCTTTCAAAGCCTACTGTATCTTAAAAGGGATTCCTCTGCTCCCCGCCCCAACCATCACCTCAGCTTTGTGCACACCACTAGACCCACCTTTTACAGACCACTCCAAAATGATCATTCGAAACAATAAACAAACAAACAAACAAACAAACAAATAGTTCATTGACTTTATAATTAGCTCAAATCTCCTGCCTTCTTGTCTCCTCGTCTAATTATGGCTCTCATTTCACAAGCTCACTTGCTGTGTTTGCTGTCAAGAAATAACCAGCTTTCTTTCCTCTTTTGGTTTTGTACTACATAATTGATAACTTATCGATAATGAACATATATAACTTGAAATCCTCGGCAAAGCAACAGGCCTCAGAATAGAAACGGATCTGGTCTGAGGTTCCTGTAGCAAATGGGAGGTCACATTCGTTCCATTTCCAGGAGATATACAAACGTGCAATGCATTTATAATCCACTACTCGAAAAAAAAAATGTAGAAAATGGAATTTGTTAACCCGTTTCAAGGGATATTAATCACCGAGAAATATTTAAGCAAACCGAAGTGTTCTTGCATTGGACGGTAGATGGCAGCAGACCGCATAAAATGGGATGGAAAGCAATTTATAACAGAAAAGACATAAAGAGAAATAGACCTTCCGTTTTTAAAAATAAACAACTAGGTGATGTTTAAACTACAGGAATTCCTTAATTAGCAACTTATCTATGTTCTAGCGAAAACATTTAGATCCCATAGACAATCAGACATTAAAGGGTGCCCGGGGTAAAGTGATTAAAAAGACTTACTTGGAGTGACATTTATCTCTTGGGTTCTACAAGTGGTTTCTCACACCGCATTTTAAAAATTCAGCAGAAATAGATTCTAGAATTATGTTATTTAAATGAAATAAAATAATCATTTGCCTTTTTTTAAGCACAGCAGTAACCACGGATCCTATAACATTTATGGACCTAAAAGAAAAAGCACTTCGGCTGGCGTTTATTTTATTTTTTTCCTGTTATGTCTGAACACGTAATAGCTCCTTCAAAAATATCTTTTGAAAATTATTTTTTGTTTGCTATTTCCACCATTGCTATCATTGACTCTTGCCCGCCCGATATTCAGGAATAGTCAAGCCGGGTGATACAAGTCGTCTTGTCATCTATTCTTAATGGTTAACTCATGGGTGCCTTCCTTAAT